CTTCCTACATATGATTTTAGATACTTCTACTAAATTTATATTAGGAGATAATATAATCAATATTTCTTTAGTAAATAAATTATATATATATATAATGTATATATATTATATATATATATATATGTGAGTAACAACCATTTAACTTTTCTTAAGAATAATTCTATCTCGATGCTCTGTCTTTCGACGTATGGTCAATTTTGAATGAATATTCTGCTGAATATTTCATTGGAGGAAATAGATATAACGATTATGAAATACTGGAATGGCATCTTGAAATTAGCACAGCTGGGTCGACTTTAGATCTTCGACTGTTTTACCGTTTGGCCTTCCTTATCCGTAACTCACGAACTCTTAACTTTTCTCAAGGGAAGTGACAAATGCTAGATTCTACAGAACGGAAGTCCTGAAAATCTTCCATTTTGAATTTTCAATTGATATAAATCTCAAAAAATTTGTTTTTCTAGATTTATGTGATATTATACTAAATATTAAAAAAAAAACTGAAAGCTATCAGATGTTACATTACGCCCAAAGGGTCGTTTTCTTAAGGTTTAGTTATCAGGTTCAGTGTTCCGCCTTACTTGCTTTGGGAACATGCAAAGACCTGACTCGGAACAGGGAGCTTACTAAAGCTATGTTCAATAAATGTGGGAAGTAGACAAGATACACAGGAAGGGTATACGAAACCCTTTATTTTTTCACTCTTTACAATAATTTCCGGACTTCGGAATACAGAAACCAACCACTTGTGGTCTGAACGTAAGAATATAAAAATATTAACTAAACTCTAACTTGACTTTGGAATAATAAACAAGGGCCTACGTGGAAGATTGGCCGTATATTAACAGGAAGCCGTATGTAGTACAGAGAACTGTTAACACTACAATACGTTTAAAATTATTAAGAGGATTAAACCTCTGGCCTGGAAGGCAACCAGCAACCGAGTAAAAACTGCTAAGGCAAGCGGCCTGCTTCTACTAACTCCTTCCTCTCTCTTGCTTGGCAAAAAGCCACAACTTAAGTACTTGGCGTTCGCCAGACAAATCTGCATAAATAAGTTAAAGCTTTTAATTCTGGCCGGAAGTAGAAAATAAGAAGTGATAGTAAAGATTTAAAATAAAATAAACGTTAGTAAAACTTAAGATCCTTACATAGTGTATTATCTTTATTTATTAAATATCACGTTCTTCGTAAATAAACCACAAAACTCAATTGAACAGCAATGTCGCAAAATAATTTAAGAAGATCAAATCTTTAGAATTTCCGATACACAGTCTCACGGCTGGAGAGAAAAATGTTTTTCTTCTTCGCACAGTGTTGCCATTGCTCGCTTTCAAATCGTTGAGTTTGTAAATTAAAAATTCGTTAATGTTTTACAAAATAAGAAGTAGATAATAAAACAAATTCCAAATTTAAGCTGCCAGATTCCCATATTAGAGAGGAGGACTACGTTATTCAAAATAGGTGTCTCTATGTACCGTTGCTTTTTCACTGTGCGAGAAACATACATACGTACATTCATTCACTTTTTTATTATTTATTTTCTTTAATTATAATGCATTCACTTCTTCATTATTTATTTTCTTTAATTATAATGCATTCACTTCTTTATTATTTATTTTCTTTAATTATAATGCATTCACTTCTTTATTATTTATTTTCTTAATTATAATGCATTCACTTCTTTATTATTTATTTTCTTTAATTATAATGCATTCACTTCTTTATTATTTATTTTCTTTATCTATAATGCATTCACTTCTTTATTATTTATTTTCTTTAATTATAATGCATTCACTTCTTTATTATTTATTTTCTTTAATTATAATGCAGGGCTCTAATATTTGGTAGCAGCAATTTGAAAAGGGAAACGCCATTTACAGTGATCCATCGCAAAATGCCAAACCGAAGTTAATAGCCCTTCTTCTGGGCAAATTGCCCTTTCGGACTATTAAATTAAGGATAATGATTGAATTAAGTTCATGAGCCAGGATATTTTTCTGTATATTACTTAACTAAACGAACTTTTATTTTTTTATTTTTATTTTTATTTTATTTTTTTATGTTGATTTGCATTTGTTATTTTGATCATAAGTCATTTTGTATTCATTACACAGCAAAGGATATTTAAGTACTCAGGTACCTTTAAATAATTAAAAGAAAATGATTTTTTGTTGCTTTAATATTACAGTTTAGTTATTTACACGTTTTCTAAAATAAACCTAAAGTAAATGTTTCATTCTAGATCCAAAGTAATAGAAAAAAATTAAATTAAAAAAAATTAAATAAAGTAACACTAAGCTTTTGTCATTTAAACGGTTGAAGGGTGCCACACAAAATCATTGTATGAATGCATTCACGACCCTTTGAAATGGACATTTTCGTTGAAAAAGGATACCCGAAATCTTTCGCTCTGCAACTAATTTGTATACTGCTAAGAACTGTGGAAAGAAGAAGTTATAGTAAAGTTTTGAATCTTAAATATTCGGTTAATTAACACAAAATCATACAGAGCAAAGAATTAAATTCACGAATCATGAATTTGGACCGAGGTAAAGATGACGGGGTTCAAAAAGATGAGTTTAATAAGTTTATCATTAATTTATCTTTCGAATATATAGTTATTTTTAAAAGTCCTTAAATGATTTTGAACATAAATGAACTTCCAATGAATGACTGCTTTTTGTTGCATTAAATTTTCAATCGTGATTAATATTTTATTCGTTTTTACACAGCCGATATCAGGTGACAATATGGAGGAGCCTCCGAAAATTCCTCTAATTGCAGATAGTCCTAATCACCCCTGGTATTTAACCCCTTAAGATGTTTTTAGGAGCAACTTAATAGTACTAAATAAAGAAAATCGTTGAAGTAAGCCTGATAATATCAGGCTGTGGCAATTCCTTTATATTTCTTATTAGATTATACTGTTTACTGTCAATTACTGAGGTGCAGATTATCCGGTTTACTCTTTACGAACTATCCGTGCGCACACTCGCCGTTATGTGCTCACTCACGCAGGCACGCTCACGCTCACGCACACTCGCCGTTATGTGCGAAAGTGTATGAAAAAACAAACACGTGCAAAACCGAGTGTGGAGGGAGATCCTTCCTAATATAGAAATCGTCGGGATTTATCGAATTGTGAAGAAGTCGAAGTAATAATTAAAGGCCAAACAATTGGAAATGTAAAATTCTTCGAAAATATCGTTTGGGGTAAACATCGAGGAATGGTTCGATGGCGATTCAGATGAGCAGGACTTTTAATGCTTGACTGATGCGTATATCGTTTCAAATGTCTCAAGCAGCTGCCCAACCGAATGACAATTACATTTGTGACAGACAAGTGAGGTTATCTTAACAAAAACAACAACGATGTCCTAAGAAGAGAAGAGGCAAGGAATGATTCTGAAAATGCAAGTCAAGAAGATAATGAAAATTACATTTGTGACAGACAAGGGAGGTTATCTTAACAAAAACAACAACAATGTCCTAAGAAGAGAAGAGGCAAGGAATGATCCTGAAAATGCAAGCTAAGAAGATAATGACAATTACATTTGTGACAGACAAGTGAGGTTATCTTAACAAAAACAACAACGATGTCCTAAGAAGAGAAGAGGCAAGGAATGATCCTGAAAATGCAAGTCAAGAAGATAATGACAATTACATTTGTGACAGACAAGTGAGGTTATCTTAACAAAACAACAACAATGTCCTAAGAAGAGAAGAGGCAAGGAATGATCCTGAAAGTGCAAGCCAAGAAGATAATGACAATTTGTGACAGACAAGTGAGGTTATCTTAACAAAAACAACAATAATGTCCTAAGAAGGGAAGAGACAAGGAATGATCCTGAAAATGCATGCCAAGAAGATAATGACAATTACATTTGTGACAGACAAGTGAGGTTATCTTAACAAAAACAACACCAATGTCCTAACAAGAGAAGAGACAAGGAATGATCCTGAAAGTGCAAGCCAAGAAGATAATGACAATTTGTGACAGACAAGTGAGGTTATCTTAACAAAAACAACAACAATGTCCTAAGAAGAGAAGAGGTAAGGAATGATCCTGAAAATGCAAGTCAAGAAGATAAGGACAATTACATTTGTGACAGACAATTGAGGTTATCTTAACAAAACAACAACAATGTCCTAAGAAGGGAAGAGACAAGGAATGATCCTGAAAATGCATGCCAAGAAGATAATGACAATTACATTTGGGACAGACAAGTGAGGTTATCTTAACAAAAACAACACCAATGTCCTAAGAATAGAAGAGGCAAGGAATGATCCTGAAAGTGCAAGCCAAGAAGATAATGACAATTTGTGACAGACAAGTGAGGTTATCTTAACAAAAACAACAACAATGTCCTAAGAAGGGAAGAGACAAGGAATGATCCCGAAAATGCAAGCCAAGAAGATAATGACAATTACATTTGTCCTGAAACAGCAAATGACTTCAATTGAAACTCTGTTGAACTTCGTCTGTAGAGACATAAGTTTAATTGGAAAAGCCGGAGAGATGAAAAATGAGCAAAAGCCTTCGCCAGGAATCGAACCACGGACCTCTGGAATACCGGCTCAGCGTGCAGACCACTACAGCACCAAGGCTCGCCAAGAAAGTTGGGAGAAATACCTTACACGTCGACCAAAGGAGATTCGAATAAAATTATTAAATAGCACCGAAATATAAGCAATGAAACTTGACAAATATTTAAATGTTCTTAAGAAAAATTTAAATTGTTCATTTTATTAAGTAATAAACACATGCAATGTGCAATTAATGTTTTAGATTTTCCTTGTTTTTCAATTACCCGTGAAATGCTTCCCTGCATTACCCCGGATGTTTTAGAGTGTACTGTAATTTCTATATAAATGTCCTATATCTATGCGGTTCTGAGCATTGGATACATGGCAATTATTAGAATTTCTGATAAGTTCATTCAGTATAATAAACAGTGCTTATCTTATGTAACATTAACATTGTTACTTATTTTCAGATTTCTTGTGCACTAAGATGTCAGATATTTGGGTGTTATTATTAGTAACTTCAGTGCTACTTCTGACGATGTGTGGACGCTCGTTGGCTGGAAATCACGATGACGACGACGACAATGGAGAGATAATGGAGATGATCACAGCAGGGCTGGTGGCTTTACTGCTACAATCTCACTAATCTTCTTAATTCCCCATTTACTACGAGCATTAATTACCCTTGCAAGACGAGGGTCATGTTGTTTTTCTTTTCAAATTTCTCTTGTTCATTTTTCATTTGCTCACCAGTATTAAGTAAGGTAGCTATTGACAGAAATATCTAAAATGTTAATAGTTTAGACCTGGTCATGTTCTGTTTTTCCAGATTTATGTATTTTGTATTTTACATAATCATGTTTAGATTTTGAGAATATACATTGTTATGTGAAGAGTATAAATCATTTGGTTCACAGAATGATTTAAGATTTAGAGAGTTATAGTTATATGTTGTAATGAAATTTTTAAAGAACTCTCGCCATTTTTGAACGAACAACCAACTTTATTAGTCAAAACTTACAGAATAACTGGAAAAACATTTTTTAAGCTTGCGCAGCGCCTGCGGATATTCTTTGCGGATAATCGTCTGCGGTAAATTACATTTGTTAGTGGAATTATGTTGGTAGCGTAGCAACGCAAATACGTTGCAATGGTTTTGCTGTTTAAATTCAAAAATATAATTTGGAAAAGTACAACGAAGAAGCGAAATAATAAAGAAAAAATTGTGTCCATTGTATAATTGTATAATAAAGCGAAGGAAAAGAAATGGCGAAAAGATTTAATTAATTATTTTCATGTTATTCAGTGCACTGTTTCTTTATTTCATGCAATGTACTTTCCTTAGTTTAGATGTATGTAAAATAATCAAACGATACGTTTAAGCCTCGAATGTTTTAATTTATTGTTTGTTAAATGTAGTACCATCTTCTAAATGCAGGAAAATCTTGCTTAACACAGCAAGTAAAAAGGACCCTAAGGGTACTTCTCTTTAACTAATGCAGCAGATATTTCAAAGACTTGATGAATATGTGTAATTAATTCGTCAGTTCTCGTAAATTTAAGAAAAACATTTTATGCTACGTTAGGCAATAAAACCTAAAACATTAATAAAATCTGTGCTCAACTCGGTAACCAATCAGTGCTTGCATCAGGAAACAGTTTCGAATATTACAGCCAATACAAGCTTTAGGCGTGTGGTGCTTGAAATCTTCGCAGCAGGCTTAGATACGCCTCTCAAAGATATTTACTTACTTACCATCGTATGAGTTGCTGTACCGACTGTTACATGACTATCAACATTTGTACTCAGTTGGTGGATCATTCTACTGTCGCCAGTACTAGCCAAAAATCTCCATAGAATATTAAAATTTGTAGCGGAATTCCTACAGTTACTTCGGAACATTGGTATTTGTGACCTATGGTTATTAAAGAGACCCTGTCAAGACTTTGACTGTACTGAAAGATACTTTTTTTCCTCTCAAAGATACTGAAGTACCACGCTGAGCTGTACTTCTGAAGCTTACCAATAGGTCCACGAGACAAAGGTGACAAAGACGAGGCAAATCTGAGGTCGCCACATTGAAATCCACGAATTGACAAGGACTTAAAGCGTGGAACTTCCTTTAGAATGGCATTAAAAATGCTGTAAGAGCTCAGTAACTGTGAGAGCTCAGTAACTGTAAAAGCTCAGTACTGTGGAACTCAGCAACCATCCAGCATTTGCAGCAGGAAACACAACCAACTAGTATTTCAGCGAACAGCATAGGCCCACTCTGGCTTTGCCAGTACATAAGAAAGAAGAAATTTCCCTAAACTTTCATCGCACAATTCATTAAATTCAATATTTTTCCAATTGTATTGATTTTTTAAATAATGTTATCAACTCGGTTGTTGAAACACATTGACAGGAATTTATGTTACTGCAAACTGAAGGGGAAAAAAGTCTTAGGTGATTAATTACTCGTTTAAAGCGGGAAACGTTACCATTTCACTCATTAACTAAAAAAGCTCTAACTGATTATCCCCCCCCCCACCATATTGAATTTGCAATAAACAAGGTTTTCTTGCTCTTGCACAAACTTTTTGAAAGTATATTTCTCATTATAAATCTGCATTCTTTACATAATATGCTTATATATTGTATTATTTATATATAATGATGTAGCTATTTAAACTTTAAAATTATACTACAAACGAATATAATTCGTGTTTGTTTCGTTTAAAACACAGTTATTGATGCAAAGGTTTTGTATTATATGTCACAGATACGTACGGCATTGCATAAACCTTAATTTTCATGTCGTGTTTCCAGTATTTTATTTGTGACTTTAGAATAACCCACTGAGATGTTTGTGCCAAAACCTTATTCGAGTACAAGCTATTCCATAGATTTCAATCCAGTATACTTGTTAATGGAACAAAGATTGTATCCGAATTATGTGTAAAAATATATTCCAGAAATAAAATATTTCACTGAAAGAAGTTGTGGTTTTTTTTAATGGCATTTAACACTTGGTAAAGAATCAGTAAGTAGTATTCTCTTTAATCTAATTGTGAGAATAACTTAATTAATTATTATTTATAATAATAATAGTAAACAGTAAGTTACGCTAAATTTCCTCAAAAATCGACTTGGCATGCCTTATAATAATACAACTACCGTATATTGCGATGCACAACGCGCACGTTTAATACAAAATGTAAGATGGAAATTTACGGATGAGAGTTATTTACGGATGAGAGTTAAAAATGCTAGATTTAAAAATAAGGAAAAGATGAGCATACAAAAACTATTTTTCTACATGTACGTAAATGCTGTTTATTTAAAAAAAAAAGACATTCCTTATGACCACAAAAAATTTCTTTTTGTGATAACTTGAAAAGCTCGTCATATTTGTATTCTGTTGTATCTTGCCGAATGCTGTTTCATTTTCATCATCACCATTATTTTAGTTGGATAAATAAATAATCATCGTCTGTTCTATCTAGACTGTTAAATAATTTTGAATGACTTTTGAATTACATCGGGTTTAATTTCATTCTATGGTTATTATCCATCCTGAGATCATGTATTTGGCTTCCTTATCGTTTCGTGTTTCTTCCTTGCCTTCGATGTTCATTTCAATCCACCCTGAGATCATGCATTGGCTTCTTTATCGTTTCTTGTTCCTTCCTTGTCTTCGGTGTTCATTTCAATCCACCCTGAGATCATGTATTTGGCTTCCTTATCGTTTCTCGTTCCTTCCTTGTCTTCGGTGTTCATTTCAATCCACCCTGAGATCATGTATTTGGCTTCCTTATCTTTTCTTGTTCCTTCCTTGCCTTCGATGTTCATTTCAATCTACCCTGAGATCATGTATTTGGCTTCCTTATCTTTTCTTGTTCCTTCCTTGCCTTCGATGTTCTTTTCCAAATCACGGCGTCAAATCACTATAGAAAGAGAAAACATTTAGCTGTTGATTCCGCAAATTCATTCGGATCGAAAGTGCATTCTTACCTGAAATAACGTCTGTATTTCCTCGAAATTCTAGAATAAAATTCTTGCGCACATCTGCATTGACTATAATCCACTCTCTTTGCAGAGTTATTTACTGCCTCAGGCATTCATCCCCCCTCACACACATATATTTCTCCTGCTATCATTTTGTATATTCATTATATAATTCGAAATTATTCAGTATTCAGTTAGAAAGCCTGAGAAAAAATTTTCGAATGAATGAATTCATTAGATAAGAGCATCACACATGCATCTTTCAGATTTCTTCGTAAATGAAAATATGCACGTTACACGGCAAATATACCTAAAAACTACAAAATGTAGTTTGAAATTATACGTGTAAGTTATACACTGGTGCCCGTTATACGGTTTATACAAAACTTCTGATAAGAAGAAGGACGTACACAGTTTTTCTATGATATTTAATGACTAAATTCGTCCAAAATTAAAAGTTGAAGAAAACAGCATTGTTGCCTTATAGTCCTCAATATATAATCCTTGTACGTTTATATTGTAGGCCGGATGGTGCAGTGGCTAGCGTGTCGCGCAGCAGGTCCGGGGTTCGATCTGGGGATTGGGCAAGGTTGACTCAGCCTTTCGTCTCTTGAATGGGTCGATAAAATGAGTACCAAGTTCGCTTGGGGTCTAAACACCAAATGTTCTGCGACAAGCTGACCACTCGTCCAGGGTATATACTCATGCAGCCTGGGCCCACGGTCAAGGAAGAAGATATCAGGGTACTGCAGGCTATGGCTCACTAAGAGCTGACGCCCAACTGAAAAATAGAACATTTACGTTATGTTTGGAACGTTCATATAGGTGTGTTGGTTTTTCGTAGAACTTAGCATGGAATACTGACTAAGTCTCTAGTTCCGCGGCACAGTGGCTAGCATGTAGCGCAGCAGCCCCACAGGCCGAGATAGGCAAGCTTGACTAAAACCTTTCGTACCTTCAATGGGTGGATAAAATGAGTACTAGTTCTCTTAGGAACTAAACACCGAGGGTCCTGTGACAAGCTGACCACTTGTTCAGGGTATATGCTCATGCTGCTGCTTCGTAGAACTCAGCATGGAATACTGCTTAAATCTCTGGCATAAGTGATGAATCGCTGGTTTCAAGTTCAAAGTGCCTCTTTTGCCGTGATTATCAAGCAAAATGCATGATTTGTTCCGGCTGTCATCAAGTGCATCCACAAAGGGCGCAGAAGGTAGACTGAGTCCGGACCGTAGGTCCAAGAGGGCAGGAGTTGATGGTGAAAGGGACGTGACAGCTTGTCACATGATCTGTAAGCAGACGTGGCATTGGTTGCGGGATTTCCAGGGAAATTCTGCAAAGTTCAACAGGAAAGTTAACAAGACATAATGATAGGTATGCTGAATATGCAGTTAAATACTCTACCAGCCAAAGAAGATCTGGACATATGAATGCATTGCCGGTGACACCATCAGCGGTAGCAGAGCTTGCGACGTCCGTTGCACCAGACAACAGTAGCATTCTCGGCACCAAAATGGTACAGTTGGGCCCCCGAAGGCGCTGCTAATCTAGATAGCTAGTGTAAGGGGCCTATATTTCCTTACTCAGGGTAAATAACAAGTAGCCCCTGCACTTATACTTAACCTAAACTTAGGTCTCTGGTTCCGGCTTCCTGAATCTCTTCAGTGATACCAAGTTCGCTTGGGGACTAAACACCAAATGTTCTTCGACAAACTGACCACTCGTCCAGGATATATACTCATGCAGCCTGGACCTACAGTCAAGGAAGAAGATATCAGGGTACTGCAGGCTAATAATAAAGTAATGACTTTTGAATTGAAATATAACTATAAGAAAGAGAAAGCTATCTGTAAGTGCAGATTATGAGGGAACAGGAGGGTGATTTTAAATTATCATATTTTTGTTCGGTACTTTGTCGTGCTGCCAGAAACCAGTTATTTCACTGAGCGTGAAGGGGTGAATTCTATTCAGAAGTTTGGCATTACCCTTTTATAAAATATAAGTCTTCAGTCTGTCCTTAAGAAACAAATCCTTTGTGAATTATCCCTTTTCATTAAAAAGACTAACAATTAATCTTTGATCAAGACATCAGAATTCTCTCTTTCTGTGGCAGTAACTATATTTTTGTAAAAGAAACAAATCGTTGTCATTGTGTCTACTGATTGAAAACAAAGCATCTAGTTTCGTAGTTTTAACTTGATTTAAAAAAAAATTATTTGCAGCTTTGCAGCAAATTTTCGTTGCCATTTTCAGCTCAGCTTTCGAATCATCCGCGAAAGATATTCATAGGAGCAAAGCAAATGTTCAACTCCATAAAACTTTTTGTTAAAAATTAAAGAAACGGTACTTCAGGAAAGATAAGTTGAAATGTAATAGTAATAATGCTATCATTTACAACCTGGCAGATTTGCTAAAATTTGAAAAAAAAAAAAAAATCTGAAAGCTTTCAGATTTTATACGACCTAAGAGGCCTTTTTTTCATTTATACACATAGACATTTCGACAACATTTGGCCAGACGCCCATTTAGTATTTAAATGTATTTAAAACCAGCATATCTTTAGAATATCCGATAGGCGCTGAAGATAAAAGTGTTTCATTCTGTGCAGTGTTGCTACTGCTCGCTTTGAAATCGTTGAAATTTTTAATCGAAAATTCGTGAAATTTTACAAAATATAAAATAGATTGTTTAAAAATTTTGAAACTCAAAATTCGACTTCTAGATGCCCATATGCAAGACAACGTTATTAAATATTTGTTCTCTCTAGATGACGTTGTTTTTTCACAATGCGAGAAACATATATACACCATTATTTTATTTCTTTAAATACAAGGCAATAATATTTGGTGGCAACAATTTGAAAAGTGAAAAGGACATTTATAGTGTCCTGCCCCAAAATACCGCTTCGAGACTAATAACTTCCCTTTGGGCTGAAATGTATGCCAACACATAACACATCAGAAATCTAAACACATTCTGATTTAAAAATTTTTGTAATTTTGCCATTTATCTGTATATGGCGTAAGTACCAAGAAAACGATGCTTAGTAATAAAGCTAAAACGACAAAAAGAAATGAGTTAGCAGGAGTGAGGGCATCAGCAGACTGCGAGCTCAGCTAGAGTGTAGAAAAACCTTAACAAACGCTTTTGGGTGACCGTTAAAATCTAGATCCTTTCAGATTTTTTAAAAATTTAAGTTGTAGAGATATTAGGATTTTTTTTAAGCAAGAGAGATGAAAATGATCAATGCCTTCGTCGGGACTCGAACCACGGACCTCTCGAATATGCGCCCGGTGTGCTGACCATTACATCACGAAGGCATGCTAAGAAGGCGGGAAAAATACCTTATTAAGTTTTGAGAAAAGATCGTTATTAACAAGAGAAATGACTTACTATTTGAATTTTCCCTCGTAAAATGTCCGTACATGAAACTTAATATTTCGCCTACTTTTACTAAAACAGGTTATGTAGACACGAACAGGATATCAACATTGTTATTTTTTTTTTTTTTTATTTTATTTTATTTTATTTTATTTATTTTTTTTTTTTTTGAAATAAAGCCACCTGTAGACTGCTTTTTGGCTTTCTAAATAAAGTTTACCCTCTTTGATTTAGTTCTTTAACTGGAACCAAAAGCCAACAACCGTCTATTCAAAAATCATTTAGCAGTGCAGCTAACTTCAAACATCCTGTATAATGGTCTTTGTAAGTTTTAAAAGCGGAAAAATTTTATTGTTCTTGTATATGAGAGTGATAATTATGAAAAATTATGAGTAACGAATTAAAAAATTAATTTTATTCTTACATAATTTCAACATGCTGAGAACTGCATTTTTAAAATTAGAAATATCGAAGCCCAATCAAAAGCAGTCTGTGAAAAAATTATTTAATTAAATATTCATTAAAACTAAATAAAATGCTAAGAGGTAAATAAAAAACCAATTAAATAATCAATTAGAGTATTGGAGATCATCCTTTTTAGTTCTTCAGC